TGAATATTTACCATCATCACCAGAACTTTCATCTGAACAGCTGAAGTCATCCTCATAATAAGTTGTTGAATCAGATGTGCTGAACGTATCCCCTTCTGGTGGATGTTTCTGAATTCTCTTCAGGGTGCAAGCCTGGAATGATGTTTATTAATTATATGTTTTTTTAAATAATAGTGGCAGCAACAAACTGTTAAACAGATCTCTTACAACGATGTAATTAAGTTACACAATAATTCAGTTTGGTGGAGTAATGATTGCATAACTTGAATCACAATTNNNCATACTACATAACATCATTTAGTTATTCACAAAATTAAAACTATATTCAGGCTATTCTTGAAGGTGCTCAGACTTTCCATTTGAATGCATTCTACTTTAAGAGTATTCCACAAGCCGGTTTACAATTAAGAGAGAATAATGCCTTATTTTAGTTCTTTTTTTCATCAGTCCTGTAAGTCTAGATTCAGAGGCTCTTGCACAAAAGTTGTTGAATTTAGGAATGTTACAGTATCCATTCAAAATTTTAAAAATTACTACACTATCACCTCAATATTTCTGTTCTAATGTCGAAAGTGACATTTCACAGCATCTTCCTTGATGATCAAAATTATATTATTCCCTTGGGATCACGGTTATCTGTCTCTGCACATTTTCAAAAAGTTTTTTGTCATTGTAGAAGGGAGACCAAACTGCATTAGAGTACTAAAGTGTATGCCTAACGTATGCTTATAGATCACTTGCCACAGATCAGATACCTCAGAGGTGCAATGAGAATGCATCTCCGATTAGGTATAGTAGTTCATTGGTTTCTTTGGTCATGGTGGCAATTTGCTTACCCCTTTTAAATTGTAAGTGATACTAAATCTCAGATTATTTTGTTTTATCGTAGAATCAATGATGTGATTTCCAACAGTATGGCTGAGATTTAGCATTTAAAGGAAGCAACAAAATTCTGATTATCTTACCAGTTTGAAGCATCTGATAATACTTTAGTGGTTTTAAGAATTATATATTGGCTGGAACTGCTACGTGAATGACA